AAACTAGCCAAGCTCAACTCAGTCGTAGATCTCGGTATCAGATACTCTAGTAACTTAACGTTCTCTGAACAAACTGATTATGCCAGACGTAAAACACGTAGGCTCCTAGGCTGCATAACTCGCAATTTCTTTTGTTGTGAAACTAGGGTTTTATTATATAAAGTATGTGTCCGACCTATTTTAGAATACTGCCCGTTTATTCTTAGCGGACTCAGACAAAATGACAAGCTTAAGTTAGAAGGAGTGCAACGGCAATTCACCTTAAGAATTCTTGGTTTAGAAAGTGGTCTCCAATACTATGAACGTTGCGACAGACTAAGTTTAGAACCACTCTGGAAAAGACGTCTTAAGCTAAACCTGATTTTTTACTACAAGCTAACTAATCTGCTCGTGCACTCCTCCGAGCCAATAATTAAACCTACCGCTGTCATCAGTTACAATCTTAGAAATCACCACAACCTAGCTGCTATAGAGCACTGTCAGACTTACATGCGGTATAATTTCTTCTTAAATAAGTTTTCAGTCATTTGGAATAGACTACCAGCTGATGTGCGCGATGCAAACACACTCGCAGTGTTCATCTCCTCAGTCACCAGACTGCTCAAAGATGACAGTGCACTTCTGCGTCTGAATCCTACATCCACTTTTTCGTCCAACATAGATATTTTAAGTTCATTAAACGTGTAGTTACAACAAACTACAATTATAGATTTTTATATTATTGGAAGTACATGATAGACATTTTTACACAGGACAATAATATTAGCTCACACAATATAAAAGTTAGCATCACGGGAATAGTTAGTTAGTGCACCAAAATAACTATAATTACTAAACAGAATATAAATGTATATATACATATTAATCACTCCGTAAGTACTCCACTTGCTTTCTTTTGCGTTGTTGTTGTTTGTCTTCTTTTGTCTCTCACCATTTCAGCTTCCATTTAACTTCTTGAATGAGAACGAAGAATGTAGATATTTGCCCATTTACAATGACAAATGATCTGCAAACATTATTGGTCCCATAACTTACAATTCCCTCGTGAACTGCGCATTGCCTTCACCAACGACGCAACCTGGATTACAGTTGTGAAATATACCTTTATACCAATAAAAAAGTATTGATTTATAATACTTCACGAATGTAACTTATAACATAACTGATCTTGTCTGCTAAATAGCTTGTATTTCTTGAAAACACCCGTTTATAAGAAAATATAAACTACCATTATTATTAGTCTACCTTGAGTACTATTCACTTGTGATGTTACGAAGAAAATGCTGACAAAAGTATACAAGTGGATTACTTATTTTAAATTATTATCAAGAATAAGACTCCATGCCGTACACACCAAAGTTATATGGAGGAATTACTTCAAGCTTTATTTTTTTCCCAAGTATTTGTAATCCATCCAAAACATACTTGGGTTTTTTTGTTAATGCGAAGACAATATTTCTATATTTCTTGATGTGCTCCATTGAATGACTAGTTATCATATTGTTCCCATAGACAAAATGACTGCAACCTTATAATTTCACCATGAACCAAATTTATGTAATTTAAATAATACTTATCCATGCCTGTACAATTGGTGTGTCCTACACAGGTAGGAAAAAATGTATTTTATTAAATTACTATTATTAAATATGTTTACTAATCGTATATGTAATTTATCATATTGATGATGCCTGTAAACTGGCGTCCCTCATGTACAAAATGAGAATATACTATTATTTATTTATTATTTATTTAACGAAGCTTTTCATCTATGGTCATACATAATCTTACCTAAGCAGGAGGATATAAGCCCAGGTCTTGGTTATTTCCGCAAATGCGAGATGGGCTGCATCATAAGAGAGTTTTATACTTAGTGGATATGCTTGGTGGCACTAACCTTGTGGACCCATGTGCTAACCAAGCCATATTAAGTGTTACACGTTCTCTTTAGAATTGCGTGCTAGGGTTGGAGATCGCCACAGTCACATCGGCATTATTAAGGAAGCATGACTAGTTTGCCACTCCTGGACAAAGAAAGGACATTAGCGAAGTAAAACACTGAATCGTCTCCGGATGAATGGGGTATTTTTGCACGTAGGTATCTTCGCAATATCAAGTTCCATTTAGACCTTTTTGAAGTTAAGTCTTGCACTTGCGTTCTTCACAAACGGGCTAGCCAGGCTGCTCTTAACATCACCCCAACTAGAGAAGGGAGAATACAATCCTTACGGTTGTCCAAGGATGTATTTACAAATTATGGTGTGCACAATCAAACTGCGACGCACAGTAGTGCTCTTTTTCCTTGAAAACCCAATTGCTTGCTGTCTGATCTAGTCAACACAGATAAACGAATCAACCTTTGAGAGAGAAATGGTTAAGATTCAACTGATCGGACAAACTTCTTTGATCCTCCACAGTACTCTCCCACCAGGATCAAATACAGTTGATAAGATTCAGTCAGGGAGATTGCTGTATGTAGAAGGACGTCGTGGCATTCATTATGTACTGTGAATCTGAAACGGAAAGTAGAAGAACAATAGAAACTGGCAAAGAGCTTGAGTTTATTCCCAGTAGATGAGTAACAATACTAATAGTGTGAAAAAATCGGCCGCCACCTAAGCGTTTGGTGAAGGAGGTGAGAAGACGGGCTGATATAATTTCGCAACATGTTAGGTCGAGGCTCTAATCAATTAAAGTTACATGAATGCAACATAATTTTCCACGTCATCATGTTGTGATAACTTAGACATTTATATGAATATTATTTGCCATTGTTTAGAAAACTAGCTCACCCTGAACGAAAATAAGGTGTTACGATTGATTTCAACCTACTTAATATGCCACAGAATTTACAATAGTTACATGGAAATCTTAAGCGCATATTAAAGATGAATGCCAGATGTAAGACTACGCTAGTCGCGCATAAATACTGACTTAAAAATAATTAAAATGGATTAATAATCACCTGGATTATTGGGAGTTTCCACTATCCGGCGTCATCTTGATACTATGGGCTTGTGTGCCTTCGTCGAACCGATTTGAAGTCGCTTCCAGAGAGTGTAACCTGTTAAAAATTAGTGGCACCACAGGTAACACTTGTGGTTGACTCACAAGAATTATTACCGCTGTGCAGTTGGTAGAGGGAAACACAACAATGTGACATAGCAGTATTGGATGATGACATAGAGCAAGAAGGGCTATTCAGCGTAAGTCAAGTCGGGCTCAGTAATTCTAGGAAGCCACTTAGTTAGGCTGCTTGAAAATTCGAGCCCGTTTCTGACTGGCATCAACTAGAAATGACACTCACGAGTGTTATGTGGCCATCTATCCTCCTGGTGATCAACGATATTCGCAGTATTTTCCATAAAATTCAATAGCAGTTTATGATCCAAGTGGCGATGAACTTTCATGGAGACGTCGATATATAGGACTCAGTAGTGGCGAGTCAGATGTATGGTCTTCAGCTACATTACCTCAAAAATAATGTAAAATACCCGACACAGTTTATGAGACTTCAAGAATCCTGACTGACGAGAATAGGTAGCCAGCCGACCATCCTATAAGTTATGCGCTTGACGGGAATTGCACAGATGAATCATACAGAAGCCGTGATTAACACTTGAATCACGGCATGCGACATCCATATTGTGACAAGTGTTGAGAATTCCATTCCGTATTATAGGTGCTGTTTTCGGGATGAAGCAGATCATTATTATTAATTTTGGATTCTAAATGCCACGAATTTAATTTAGTTACTAGTCTATTTCTCTCAGGCAAGTAAGACTTTCTCCTACATGAGTGTGGGGCCCCCAACTCGTCCTCTGTATCTGATGAAAACGGAGGTGTCATAGATTGGATTAACCGGTTGTAATCATTTCGTATACATATGTTTATTTTCAGTTTGCCAGAACCAACCAAGCTACATCGATTAACAGACGCCCCATAGTTATCCACAGAACGATCCATGCTTGATTCAACTTTCGGTTGCACAACTATGCCATTCTCGAATCGTACAATGTTCTGTTAGTGTTTCCATTGCAAAAGGTGTCCCATTTCTGAGTTCCCTTCGTTTCATTGTCCCTGAAGTGCACATGTATTCGCGAGTGCATCAACTGCGGATTGCTTACGTACCAAGGGACTTTGGTCAATAATACTTAAATTGCGGAATAAACACGTTAGATAATACGAAAAATTAAAAAGACGGTTACAGCGAATAAAACTTTCCCCAAACAAAGTTATCAACAAGGCTGCACAATAATATTAACTAATAAAGGCCAAACAATAATTAATTGTCAAAGTGAAAGATTCAGTTAACTAAGATGAAGAACATTCATTGTTTATTGATAAGAGAAATTATGCAATTTAAGTCAGCAGTGGTAGTATCTCAATGAAACAGAACATCCAAACAGTTTCTTCAAAGATACTGACTATTCGAATAAGGTGGCCGGGATCATACGTAGATATATACGCTCTGTTGGACTATGGAGTTTATGTTGCGTTTAGTGGTGCGCATCTGATCAACCACTTAGGCATCAAAAACTCGGTGAACAATGTAATATATGGTACCGTCAACTCTTCTAGGTCATGTTCTCATGGACACACATCGTCTTCAATCGGGTTAGATGATAGATAGCAGTGAACAACAAGTAAATGCCTAAACGTGCTATCTAGTAGTAACTAGTTTTATGATATTCCTTTCTTACACTTTGAGTTATAACCAGCCCAGACAATTAAAGCATATTCTTAATCTCAGGATGAAGAGATGGTGAATAAACTTTCCCCTATTCTACTCAGACGATTTAATGAGTAATGTATACCACTATTCAACTACTAAGAGACAAAATAAGACATCTAAAAATGAGTCTAAATGCAGTACGATTTTCCTACTCAGCAGTCAGAGATTCACCACTTACAGGAAGAGTGCTAGCTGTTACTAAAGGAGAAATTGAACTCTTGTGCGTACTGCATCAATGGGTTATCTTTTCGCATGAAACGATGAATGATTTGATTCTTCAAAGAGCAAAGATTGGAAAAAAGCATTTAGTTAAAAATAATATCACTGGGAAAAGTGATCTTTTCCACCATCAAAATATGAGTGTAAAATAACTTTTTTCGTATCCACGTTAGTTCTGCGTGTTGTTACACTTTCAAATATAGTCGCTACGAATGGAGTTTGTTTTGTCTCCGCTTTTTTCTTTAGTTGAGTGTCCAAAACTCAAGATAAAGAAGCCAAGCTTCATAACATGGCCTTCTCCTATGGTTTTCTTTGCCTTCATCATGCTCACCTATTTCTTAATCACAGGAGGTACGTTATTTTGTAAGATATACGTACCCAAGCTTACTATAATGCTGAATTAAATCTCAATAATTCTGGTTTTCAGCATGATTGGCACTAATTCAGCACCGTGTTCTTTTTCTAGACATTTCCAGGAGTAGATCAGAACCTACTGGGTTTGCTTATCAGCGTTGTTCCAGCCCTCACAGGACATATTAAGCACGGACTAGCGTTACTTCAGAAAGTAGTGGGTAGATAAAATCTTCATTTACCATAAAAAGGCATTATCGAAGAATAGGTTAGAATAAGTTTAGGATTGTTGTAAGCTTGGGGAAACCGGGCAAATAATTGTTGTCATCATCAATAAAATATGCTCATCGAAGTGTTATGCTATTAAATGGGATTTCTGGCTAGTTTCCACTAAGGTTTGGGAAAGATTAAGTTACGCTTTAAGCCAAGGACATGTTAGGGTTAGGTTAACCTAATAAAGGCGACATTATGGTTGGTTCGAGTTAGATTGCAGTTAGTTTAGGGATATTTTCACGTTAGGGTTAGGTTCAGCAAAGATTAGGGTTATTGTTAGGGTTAGAAGACCTAAATAATTACATGCATAGAATGTGGTTAAATTACTCTGTTGATATAAGAATAGAATTTGTGCACTGTGGTAGAGTATAATTCCATTGTGGATAACATTTATTTTGATAAAGTCTCACAGTTTTACACACTAACATTTACTAATGACGTTTCGAGCGCAATTTACTGCTCAGTAAATATTACTGTATAATACTATGAAACTTTATCAAAATAAATTTTACCCACAATGGAATTATACTCTGTTGATACTCCAAACTAAAACTCAGAGCTATTTTTTATCACATGTGAGAGGAAGGTATCCTCTGTAACACTTTTCTACAGTTTTTATGCATTATTTCATAAATATATGTATTCCATACACAAAAATGCCTCCTTCACGTGATTGGTGCGTTCGAGGTCATTCGCTGATTGGTAGTTAGTGGTGCTTAAAGTTTAACTTTGCCCTCCTTGGGGGACACAGAACTGCCAGATGTTAAGGGATAAGAGGACTTAGGAATTATTGTCAGCTATGACCTAAAAATTACTGCAAATTGTAATGCAGCTGCAGTCTAAGCTTCTCGAATGCTATAGGTACTTTGAAGGACTTTCAAACGATTGGATGAGTTTATGTCCCAAGTACTCTACACTTCATATGTCGGGGCTCACCTAGAATGCTGCATACAAGTGGGAGTCCATGCCCAAAGAAGGAGGTACATACCTTGGAAAGAGTACAGAGGGTAGGAACCAAATTATTCAGTGGTACCTCATACCTTCTTTATGACAAGAGGATGGAGCATTTAAATCTCTTCCCATTATCATACCGAAGGAGAGGCGACTTAATTTTTGCATACCGTATATTAAAGAGTGACTTAGAGATTGACCTTCCTAGTCTTTCCTCTCCCTCTAAGGTACATTTACAAGGTCACCACAAAAAGGTGCTCAGACCGAGGGCGAATAAAATACGTGTGGAATTTAGATTCCCTCGCAAAGTGGTCAACGACTGGAACTCTTTACCTGATTCAGTAGTATCAACTGCATCGGTGAAGGCTTTCAAAGAGAAATTAGACCTCTGCAGAGATATATATTGCAAGGATTAACATAGGCAACAAAGGTTTATTATACTTATTATCTGAATCTGGCTCGCGAAGCACCGTTAAATCAGTACTTCCATACAATTAGTTTCTCACACGAAAGTTATTCTACGCTTGTTTGCTGGTTTGTAAGTTATATCTGGTGTTAAAGCACTCAATTTTTCAGGTTAAGGAAGTAGATATAAACGTGAGACCTGGTGTTTATCAATCGGATTAATTAAACAAAGTAGTCATAATTTGTGCTCAAAGTATCTCAGAAGTTGCACAGACGTGTATCAACTGTGTTTTTCTTGTTCGTCGGTGGTTCAGTGGTAGAATGCTCGCCAGCCGCGCGTGCGGCTCCCGGCCAATGCACTCCTAAGCGTTTCCCAGTCTTCTAGTCAATAGTAATCCCGGAAAAGATGGAAGGTTGGATATCAGGCTAGGAAACTTATCTGGTAAAAATAACACCACGGCTACTGAAGCCTGGAATCCAATATTTTACTCGGATTGCTAAGGAATGAAGAAAAATACTTCTCTAATTATGCTTGTTTAAGCTCATTTATAATCAAAAGATCTAGGTTTTCAAAAGTGAAATAGTTGTTCGATACCTACTCAGTAATACAAAGATCAAGATGGATGATGTCAAAAGTGACTGAAAAGTCATGAAAAATGCTGTAATGTGATGGCTAATTTCATATGTTTCTAATAATGAATTGGAAAATACTGTATACACAGAATAGCTTAATTTCTGCGTGATATGTCATTTACGAAAAGATTTTTGTGTATTCATTTTCACCTTGAAAAATACACAATTTTTCAAATTCTCCTTATGATTAGCTGGTTTAGATACTCGACTTACAGCTTGTCACGCTGCTGAGGAAACTTTAGTTCAATATTTATTGTTCATCGTGCCCTATATGCAGAGCTTTCAACTAAGTGTATGGCTACTGTCAATTTTAACAATAAACTAATTGATTACCCAGAGATCTGTCATTATTTGAAGTGTCTGACTATATTTTTGTACTCATTGTATGTTATACTAGTTTAGTGGCTAACGTTTCCTCATCCACTTTCCCCCAACAGGTGTTATTTACGATATGATTGTAGGACCACCAAGCATGGGAACGGAGACTGATTCCAGGGGTAATCAAAGACCGGTAAGTCAGATTTACTATTTTTATATGATACATAGGTGGCTATAATGGCTTGGCGCTTAAACAGTCAGTATATACTAGAAGGACTAGCAGCTAGTTTTATGTTTGTAATGGGAAGTTTCGGATTTATTGTGATGGACAAAGTCAACGAAGCTAAAGTTTCAAAGTTAAACCGTATTTTATTGATGGCACTTGGCATCGGATGCATTCTAGCCTCGATTCTCACTTTACATATTTTCATCAAAACCAAAATGCCGTAAGTTTCAGTAATAAATTCAACATCGTTTTTTCTAGGTCTTATATGCGATGATTATCAAATCAAATTACCTCACTGCTTTGTGCCTCTCTGTACGTGCAACCAAGTGAATATATAATACATCCAATGCCCACAAAAGTTTACCCATGTAAATTGTAAAAAAGACACTCTTCAGTAAAATAAACTTTTTATATTTGGTAGATAATAATAAGAATTGTTTACACTACTTTAAATCGTTTTGGCATACCGGCTTCTATTGCTGCTTTCCAGTCACCGCCGTTTGCAATGTAGGCTAACATGATGTCGATGACGTGATTGATTGCTAACACAGGACTAGATTTCCTTCCTGATGTATCTTGATCGTAAAACTCCTGGATTGGAAGTCGTACGGCACGACAACGTTGCAGCTCCGCTTCTTGAAGACTGCGACCCTAAATAAAAATTTGGACGTATAGTCGTGTTCAGTGTGCATGAAATCAAAAATGTTAAGATTCGATTGAAATTCCGAAAAGGTTTTGTATCAGCGTGACAACTTAAGGAATGTTAGTTGGGACACAACTACAGTCTATGTTTACAACCAACTTCCTAACATTCATTTGTTCATATATCCAGCAAACTGCATGATGACCATAAACTTCCGTATCATAAGAAATGATAACGATAGAGTAGGAAACGTGAGACTCAATGTGGACTATGACAGCAGAGGATTCAAAAATATTAATACATCAAAGCGGTAAGCCAGTTTGAGATGTGTGTAATTTAAAACCTAAGTGACTGACAATCTTTTAGTTGTCATACTTGATATGATGCTATTTCAATCAATGAATCAAAAAGTTCTGTACTACTTCCTAATAGTACGACAAATGCCAAAAAGTTGCGGTCACTGCAACCAGCGTTAGGACTCTTTTAGCTGTTGTTTTGTGGGAAATGAAAATCCGTCAAGAAACACAATTACATACAGTTGGGGATGGGCTACACCTGTCGTGTGAGGGCTAGTGATACTACCTGGCTGTCGAAACCCCAGTAGGTGGAGGGGGCTTCGGACGCGTCACCAACTGCTTGAAAGCAAAGTGCCTAATCCAATGAACCACAGCTCCATATTGTCACATGACTGTTATACAGTGCCATATTTTATTCAACTGTAGCAAAGATATAGAGTGATCGTCTTCGGTCTCCTGTGGCGATATCCGATAATCTTTTAGGAAGATTTCCATTCACTAACAAAATGAAATCCCATAACACAGGTATATCATTCGTACATACCTAGTTTAAATTACATACCAGGTAAAGATAACGTACTAGTATCTAAGTATGTATTAAAGATGTGCAGGCATTAAACCAACTTATGAAAAAAACAGCACAAAAGGTCACTGGCATTTAATATTGTTAACACAGTCATGTGTTGTAAACATAATTTAAGCCTTGTACATACGTTACCTTTAGTATGTGTTCATCTACAAGACATCCCAACACATAAGCACACTTTTTGGAGAGAGATAAGAGTGGTTCTTGTGCGTCTGGGCTTAGATAAACCAACTCCACATCATCTTCAGTTATGCTAGATGCTGTTCCACTGTGAAATCCAATCTACAAGGAAATAGAAAATGAATAACGGGAAAAGAAATACACTCGCAGAATAAACATTTATTCCTGGGACTGTTCTTTTTACCCAAAAACTTTTGAAAGTAAAATGTTAACATAGCGACTTTAATTTTCCTTCGTATTCTCTTAATGGCAACCCAAGATTCCTGTGTTATTAAGCAATTCTGCATAAATACTTTGGAGGTCTATGTTTCTTGTGAATTCATATAACACAAATTTATGCCCTGGGCTAAACAATACTGACAGTAGGTACCTCATAGAACAAACATTTATTTCGGACTTAACAATAAACAAGTTAAACGATAAGACATGCACAGCCAAACTATGGTTACTCATTACCAACATTGTGATCTTGGCTTTTGTAACGGCTAAGTTATTTAGTGCTTTTTGTCATAAACTTATGGAACCATTTTATATCTACAGACTTCTAAAGTCTTCTTATACAGGTTTAGAATTGCAAGTGGTTAGATGAGACCCATGGATTTGTGCCTTGAGAAAACCATCTTGATGAGGAAAATCATTGAAGACCCCTTCACATATCTGACTAGCTGCACAGTCATAATGCACCTTTATTTAGTCCTACGTGTTTCAATAAATGCGCCACAGAACATGAGAAGACTACATAAGAAGATGTACACATTTTCACTAAGCATATTTTAGAAGTGTTTCACTTCTTTTATCATCCCGAGAACTCCAACGAGGCTCAATTAAATCAGGCAGCCAGTGTCGCGGGTTCAAACTCCTACCTAACGAGTTCTGGACAGCTAGGTAGTAAAATCAAATCTCACGTTAGTTGTTGAGTAACATCTCATTCACCTTTCAACCTACGTGACTGGGACCAATAGTTAGTGGCTTCACGCATTGATATCACGTGGTATCCTGAACATTTCTGAATCTATTGCTGTAGATGAACTCAAGTTGTGAAACATCAGAACACCACGTAGAAATGGAGAAAGCAAGGATGTAGCGATACTACGGTGAACAAACATGTGAGGCAGAATAATTAATGATGGATAGTGGAGATGTTCAGAGTTTCGATGATAAGGGGTAGACAGATTTGCACCATTGAGTCATGACACTAAGTCATCAATCACTGATCCTTTAATGCCCCTAAACGGACTCAACAATATTGTCAATGGTGAGCTTATTTAGTGAAACCTGGTAACCCTGTCTAATCCTAGTGCTAGTTCGGAACAGTACTGATAAGTAGTTATATACCCTTGACCTCTTAAAGTTTTTATGTGTATAGCTTTCGAAGTATTAATAAGCTCATTATGAACACCCTTGACTAGCTACACAAAAGAACAAGCTTGTCCAATGAATCGAACGCAGCTGTAATATCAACAAATACAACAATTGTTGGCCTGAAATACGGTGTTTAATAACTGCAGCCTGGTGAATGCATGTTAAACCACGGCAAACCTTCTGCTACAGAATCCACACTTCATATTCTGCTAAACTTTAGAAATACGATGTCATGTTAGTAATAGAGTATTATTTGTTGGGTGACGTTACGAGCAGAATTTACTGCTCGTAATCATAACAAAGTGATCATACGAATTTCCAATCTAATTCTTATATTTATCTGGTACCTTGTTTCTTTGCTATTATTCTCCAAATATCTCTAATGAGTGATAAATCACTCTAGTTGTATGTATTCAGTGTTCGTTTTATAAAAAAGCTTCAGTAAGCAGTTTCCCTCTTACCGGCTAACTACAATCGATTCTAGAACTTTCACCCCCATTATACTCTATTGCACAATTATGGGTTAATCCATTTTACTAGGATCTGTCAGTTCATATTTAGCTAAACATTTTGCCCAAGTATTCTGACGGATCTCAATCAACCACTCTTACGCATACAATTAATCTCACGATAAGCACTTGCTGTCTCGAAAGTCAAATTGTTTCATTTAGTTGGTACTGCAGTATTTTCAACCTACATAGCTTGTCTGAGTAGGTCTTCACGTTTGAATACTACTACGATCCCAGCTTTTTAAAGAATCCTATGTAAGGCTTCTGCTATATCTTCTTTATATAACGACACTGCAGAGGGTTCGAACTCTTACTTGTGCTGAAACTATCGCTTACGTTAATATTCGTTTTCTTTATTAAGTTTTATGGACTTTTATGCGTCTGTAAGAATGAGACGAAGTAAAATTTAAGTATCTATCAGTGTACTGGCCATCTATAAACGCTTATATATAAACTACCGTCTTCTATTTACAAGCAAATTGGGTTTCATTTATTACAGCATTTGTATATGTTATGATTTCAACACAATAGATATTGTCCATATGTCTCCACCATATTTTTGAAGCAGGCTTAAATATGTCTAAAGCTTTGCATTATGAAGTGTTTATAAGTGTGTCTATTCCTATAGGGGATATTGGGATATCTTTCCCTGAAATTCAACTGTGCCCAAAATTTTTGACGTTACTGGTAACCAACTGATACCCTGATAAATTTCTCATGCAAGTACGTCTGTTTTTCTCAAAGGTACACAAAATAGTGGTACAATTTTCAAGTGATGTCATGTTTTCTTAGACCACAGTCTCGCTTACATTTAACGAAAAACTGAATAACCTGTGACGGCTCAGATTTAAGTTTTTGTCGCTAAGTGAATACGCGCTAATCAAGCATTACGTCTCTGGGTAGAGAACCCTAGCGCCACAGACTAGTTAGACTACTTCACTTAGTGTTCCACGTTTTTTTTAAGTTACAGACGGTCTCTTGAAACAACTACAGCTTTATGGACTAATTTGTAAATATAGTGAAACTCTGTGGTTAAAGATCACAAATGGTAACGCAAAACCCCATGCATGGGGATCGATATCTACCACTTGCTCTATGATATGTAATATAGTCTTTACTATCCTGAAAGTATTCCTAACATGACATTTCCTTTTCTTTCTTTTAGGTGTTTTTCTAGTTTTAAGTTAATGCTATATCAAATAATTCTCCATGTAAGTAGGCAAGAGATATACAAATCAAGGCATTATATCAGGTTATTTTTCTGTCAACTTGAAATATAAACCCATAAATAAAAAACACTTTATATCAAAAAGAAAGTATACAAGTGAACTACTTCTCCTTAATCCCTATCTAACTTATACAATTAATAATATATGGGTGTTTTTGGACACAAGATACCGATAAATAAGTCGACACTTCGTGAAATATGTATTAACATAACGCTTTCATTTTAAAGAATGTTATCCTCACTTGAGAAACAAAGGAAATAAGCTATTGTGAATGTTTTTAGGACAACAGTTATTTCAGGCTATACCTGTTGTTTCTCAGTCCCATCCTCGATGGGTTCATGAGTGCGTGTTGCTGAAGAGCCCTTAGCTAGAACAAAGAAGTTATCCAGTGCTCCCTGGTTTTCGGTGGTTTTCTAAATATCATTTAGTGATCTGAATCGAAACCAATCAAACCCAAGCAAGCCAACAACTGGAAATAAACAAGCGCTTATCATGACAGCACTAGCAACAAACACCACTTATATACTGTTATACAAAACTAGTTCTTTTCTGAAATTATTCTAGTAACATAACTAAGACTCACCTTGTACTTTGAAAATCCATCACATTTAGTTTGACATGCTTGGAATAAAGTTCCCGAATTAGAAAAATTCACAAGATGCAGGCTTAGGGGTGTTGAAGCCTTTTTGTTAGCACCATAGAGTCGGCACAGCTGCTGAGCGAACTTATTGCATTCCTACAAACAGTCATAGCTTTGGACATTAACACGAACTTTGAGGGACATGAGAGCTTCATAAGAACAGTCTATGTACACTTTTATTCCGTCACTCAACGCCATGTCCAATTTCTGAGAGATTTCCATTTTTTGAAACTTTTTGCTATGGTAACAATTTTGCGCTACAGCTGCTTTCGTCTTTTCACGTAAAGCTGCCTTTCTTCGACCCTTTTCTAGTTTCCGCTTCTCCCTTTTACGCAGGATCTTCTGAAGTTTTTTCTGGTATGACTCTGTAATATACATGTTATGAAGTATTCTATCTACCAACTTGACATTTCTGAACTCATTTTAGAAGGGAAATGTGCTAGAGACCATAAGTAGCAGTGTTCTGCAAAAAGACTAATTCCTGTAAATTTGGAAAAAAAACAATTGTAAATGTAGACCGAAAACAATGATATCATTAAGTGTAACCACCTTAATCTTTAAAAGCAAGATGGTTGGTGAATTCAAACGGCGTTTCGTATCAAAACTCATTGCTAGTGTTTTTCAGATTACGAAACGGGACACACTCGGGTGGCAGCCTAGTCTTAGAATTATATTCGGTACGTCTTTTGTGCTAGCAGCTTTAAAGATGAGTGCCTATAAGTTGTAGGATATCAAAAGCGAAGTTAAGCCATAGCATCCACCCGATACATGATCTCCGATGAACAAATGGAGTTATCTTTCCATACAAAATCATGCATTCTATTCAGGATTAGCTTGCAGAATTCCAACAGAATCGAGCGCTTGATTACTGTGCGAATTTTGATTAACTAAAACATGCATTTACTGTCAAGTTTCCCGACGACTAGTTATCGATAATTAATTATAGTTAGCAGTAACTACTAACCTTGGGCTTTCAAGACCAGTGGGGAGGCTGCTTGGACTCAGGGAACCGCAGAAAAACGAAAAATAACTGGGTGACATTTAAGTAAACCTTGGAGAAAACTCCAAAATTAGAAATGACTAGGGTTCCAGAGATCACTGACCACATCGCCTGCAAACGGCCTTGACTCGATTATCCCGCTGTCACTGGTAATAAGTCCGGATAGTATAAATAGAAAATTCAATAGTACTGAGAGAATTTTTATATGAAGGGCATAAATTAAGATGAATAATGATAATAATAATTGTAATAACAAGCAAAGAAAGGAAAAAACCAAGTGGATTAAGGGGAAGAAGCACTCTTGCTGAGAATTATCAATCCCTCTGTAAAACATTAAATTAGTGTCAGTTATAGTTTCCGGAAAAATAGGTAACGACTCTTGTTCTCGGTTGGTTAAAGTGCTAAGAATGGATCCTAAGAAAGACTGCACTGCTGTAACGCTACTCACTAAGATGAAAGGGGTTTCAGATAATGTGAATTAGACCATGATGTATAAACGATCATCGCCAACTTTTTCACCGTGTTGAATAGCCCTCAGAGTCCTTAGTTCGCCATTTCAAACCAGGAATGTTACTATACCTTTCGCCAAATATCTCCAGCTAATTAGCTAATAAATATTTTACTCCTAAGAACACACTATTCACTAAATGAGTTCTTTCGTTTACCTTTTTCCTATCAGTATTTATATGTTAGGTGAGCTACCAATGCAGTTGGCACTTGTGTGTGTCGGCCCGGCCAAAGGACATCACTATTCCCTAAAGTTTCTGGAGGCCACCTGTAAGACTAAAAAGGTCACTTAACCACCATGAACAGCAGCATTCACAGATAAGAGAAACAGTGGTTGAAAAATCGCAACTCACTTACTGTATCCGTTGTCTCCAAGTCACACTTAGGAAGCGCTGAAGTATTTTAGCCCCGATCAGTATTTCGGTAATGGACCACAGTAAATCCTGTTGGTTCTTCAGTCTGGCTACTGAAAGTCTATGGTGAACTCCTTGTTTAATTTATCTGGTTACTCACGCCTATTACCTCACGCAGACCTCAAAGTTTGCCAAGTGAACTTTAGCCAAAGTTTGACCTAATAATTCCACAAACATTAAGTGCCTAGTGGAAAGTATTCATATATGTAGTCTAAAATGGTGACATATGTGTTCCTTGTAGTCCTCTTTAGTTGGCCCCATGATTATGTAAATCTCTCGTCTCTTTCTCAAATGGTCTCTTCCATGCCACCCTTGGACCCCAGTCCAACTAGTTCATCCTCACGCAAGGGCCTTGTGCAAGACGTCACTCAGCGATCTACACAAGTGTGGCCGATCCATCTACATTTCCTTCAGCATATTGGTTGGAGAGTATGTATTTATTATTATCACAGGGCTACAGCCGCACGTCATTGTGTTTGGTTCTCTGTCAACGTTTTCACCCGGCTCCACATCCGCCCACATCCTTTTATGTGCTTGGTTGGTTCGTCGTTGCGAGTTTCCTGTTGCCTATTCTTTCTGTCCATCTGATTTTCAGTATCCAGCGGGGGCAGATGTTGAGGAAAGTCTCAAGCAGCCTTTCGGAAATGCTTTCCGTAACGCATCAGACAAGTCTGCTCACCATATAGAGGAACCGATTTCTCCGAACTTTGTTCTTACTGCAGATAGCAGCTGTCGAATGTCTCTCGAAATCAATGCAGCCAAGATAGAGATTCGAATGTTAATCTATGCCCTTGTAGTGTCTCTACAACATGGTATTCTATAACCGGTCGGATGTAGTAAGCAGTTAAGTTAGGGACGATGAGACGAGTAACCACGTAGGAACTGTCTCTTCTTTACGGTTTGCAAGGACTTCTTTAACTCTTGTGTTTGTTTGACTAGGTATTCACCCGCTTCACTCACCCTTTGCTGTGTTTCGGAAATAGACGTTCATAAGCACCATTAGTCTTTTACAACATCGCAGGTCATCGGCCGATAATCTGAGCAATTATTTCGACGTAAACTTCGGCTCCGAAACTCTGCTTGATGATGATGCATAGAGTTACAATTTGATCCGCACATGATTCGCTTTTCCTATATCAGCCTAATTATGGGCTGAGTTCTGTATCTTTTGCATCTTTTAACCCCTACAGAGTGACGCAACGCAGCACTTTGAGTTGCTTGGACTAGAGAGTGATACCCTACGCGCTGAAACAGAGGCCTAGGTCCCCGTTTTCTGGTAGCTTGAGCAGGCACCAGTCTTTCCGTTAACATACTTCGAGTGTATCAGCATATTTGCTGCGGCCTCTCGATCAGTTACTAGTGCTACTGGGGAATTTTCGTCGACTACTGAAGCCTCCTCAGCTTTACTGTCTTCATTGCGTTCAAGGCTTCTGTCAGTGTTGGCGAAAGCTGGAGGATTACCAGATGACCTTGCCCATTCTCCTTTTATGTTGTTTCGTTAAACACTAGTGTTCACAGGAAACCCACAAATTCAAACCGATATCTGAATTTCCGATCATCCCGCCCTATGCCAGCAAAAATCAGATTGGTAGGGTGTTTAAGTAATAGGGTACAAATGCTAAGTATTGCCAAGGAAAATCTAAGACTGGAAGTGATACATATAAGAGAAGCCTTGAAACTTAATAATTATACAGATAAATTAATCGGGAAGTATGTAGAGAAATGTAAAAATAAAATAAATAACGACAGTAGTGATAGTGATGATAATAATAATATTAATGACAACATCCACGTCAAACATGCGCAAGATAATGACAACACCAGCAATAAGGAATCAAAATCATCAGTAGTAATTCTATACAACGAAGGAACTTCGGACCTTACGCAGAATTCTTAACAAGGCAAGAATAAAAGTTGTCGACATTCAAACCCACAAACTCAATTAATAATAATAATGTATTTCATATAAATTTACAAATTTACATGAAAATGCATGCCATTTTTACAGGCACGATCAAGTATGATATAATATCAAATCGTAGATTGTCTACAAGTTAATCATATTTCAACTGTTAAATATTCGATACATATAATACACTCATTTTCTGAATTAGGCCGTATAGTTATTGAGTTGTACAGTTGTCCTCCAGGTTGAGCGGGAAAATCGACTTCGTTCCGTTTTCATCCCGTGGTTGTAGGCATACGATAACCAACCAATATTGAGGTAAGTACACCTTTTACAAGGGATTGGAATCTGTTTTAGAAAAATTAAAGTGCTGAGGTGAATCATTAAATTGTAATGAAATAGGTAAGTGCAAGTATCATTAATAAATGCATTAATAAAGGAAACACCCTAGGGTAACAACATTCATTTGCAATGTATAATGCTACAGATATATCACAAACTATCATGATATCCACTTTTGGTTTTAATACAATTATCCTCATGCCAGTTGTTTTTATTTTATACCTTTTTGTGCATTTAGTGCACAACCGTACCCTTCAGAGAGTAGGAGTATAATAAGTAATGAAGAGCTATAAGATGTTAAGTTTAATGGAGTAAAATGAGGATCAAGTAAAGACGTTGTCAGAAAATAAATGAGATAAGACATTGTGGAGTGGTATGAAAAGATCTGACGATAGACAGCAAGTTAATTTATAAGATGCCCCATAAATCTGAGCAGATTCCACAGGGTCGCATCTCAACAATAGGCTGGGTGAATGGTATATATTTAAAGGTAGAAGCATGATCTGTCAAGGCGTTCATTCTTATCTTTTTCAAGATAAAGATTTAAGCCCTCATAAAAATCAGAAATATCTCGAGCCTTCAAATTTTTTTAATGCTGTTCCTGCAGAATGGGGCGATTCACCTTAGTGACCCCCACCATATCTACTGATCAGCTAACCCCACCCTCCCACCTTTTTTGATGTTAGGCTCTGAGACTATGATTATTATGGTTACCGCAAATATATTGCTTGGTACCAGACATGTCCGTACCCCATATTCCATCTCCCTAGCTTTCTTAATGAGTGCTTCCAATAGGTCCCCGCGTACATCTTTATGAACATATTATATATGTATGCATGCGTCCTAATGAACAGATTACTTTATAAGAAGTCAAAAACCTTGAAGAATAACAAGAATAGGTTTTGTGAATAGTGGAGCAAGATTCAGCAGAACAATATAGTTAGGGTTCAATATAGGTAGTATGAACTGAAGGTAAGGTCGGTTGGCAGGACCAAGTGTACTAAATTATCATGACAGTTTTATATATAGTAAACATTTGACATTGCAAAGTAACCTGTCCACGTATATTATAAAAAGATATTAGCAGAACCAACAAAATTTCAGCATTTGGTTAACAATACTACAGAAAGTTAGTGAGTCTTACAGGTAGCCGTAAAGTAAATCAATCTATGTATAATAAGAGTGTAATCAGTGTTATAATTCGTATTATCAAAGAATACATTAGGCTCAAAAACTGAATGTTATAAGGGAAATAAGAGTGATAAACTAAGAGAACATTTGCTGCGCAAGTAATCATTTTAAGTATTTTAATGATAATCTAATTTCAAGTATTGAACATGCATAATTACTAAGTATTATTAGGTTAGTCTAGGAACTAGTGTACTGTCTGTAGTTAAATATTGAAATGTCATGGTTTCACCACTCTACCAGCAGTTGAGATCATTTAGAAGGGCTAGGGTGGACATGTTAATATGTTTTTCTAGGCTCCTTTTGAAACTGTCAGGCCTTTCACAGGATCTAATCTCAGAGGGTAGTTGGTTCCAAAGTTTGCAATATTTAATGGTGAAGAAGTTAGCTCTAGTGGTGAGCTTATGGGTGTTAACCTTGAGAAGGCAGTTATGGTTGCGTAGTCCATACGATTTAGGATTAGCCCAGGTTATAGACGAGTTACTGTTACAGTGCTTTCTTATAACTTTGAATAAGAGAAATAAATTGCACTTCACTCTCCTTAACCATAAGGGTTCTAAGTCCAGTCGAATACATCTGTCAAGGTATTCTATTTGCTGATCATAACCTAATATGCGTTTCGTGAGGAATCTTTGGACACTTTCAACTTTTAGAAACAAGCTTTGTCGTTTCAGGGATCCTGTGGAGCCCTTAAAACATAACAATTTAGTTTATCTGATACCTTGCAATGGTTTTCCTGTCAAATACATAAGTCAGAGTAGAAGGACAGGGGAAGTC